TTAAAATGGTTGGAAAGAATGCTGCATTAGTGTAACGAAAATCGTTGGTATCTATGCCATCACTGCTCACTGATACTAAATAGTTAGTCCAGTTATCTGTAATAAAATCTGAATGACAAACTGGATGTAATGTAGGTTGAAATGATATGAATTGAGAGTGTTCATTTGTAGTTGATGAACACGGACAGGTCAATGTTTGAGGATATTTATCTTGAAGAGTGAAATAAATATCGATCGAAGGTTCATTAATGGTGATTGTTTTTGTAACAGAATATGTGGATGCATAGAGAATAAGTATAGAAAATGCAATAATTATTGAAATGATGAAGAGTCGAGTTGAAAGACGTTGACCATATAAGTGCCATTCACTGTTTTCATCTGGATCTGAGAAAAAGTTAAGGCTGAGCAAAAACACTTTTATTTTAACAAATAATGAAATTTGTTGCTCAGTAGTAACACCAATAGCTTGCCGTTCTATAAAAGAATAAGAAGAAAAACACAATTAATATGGTTATCAGTGGCGTAGCCAGGGAGAGAGGGCAAATGGGCAACTGCTCATTTCACTTTAGCGTCTGCCCATCGCAATTTTGCACTAGTATATCATTGCCTACGGAACTTTCATTCTTTTGCAATTGCTGTACTTGTTAGTGGATTATTTAATATAAGTCTTTTCCTTCTATCTAATTCATTAAATATTTTATGTAAAAATTATTAATAGAACCTTGTTTTGTAAAAAAAAAGAAACCATTTATTTTCAAGATAAGAAAATTGTCTTACATCGTCTGACATAATTTCAAAGACTTTGGGATCATTTGATAATTTAGTTTTGTATCTGTTTTTTGCTTCTTTTGAGCATGCGCCTGAACTAACCTACAGCTTCCTAGCGTTAGCAGAGAATGATCAAGGGCTTCAGTTCCTTCTTTTCTTATCGAATCTCTATGTCCTGACATCTGACAGAGTCTTTCTAGTCAATTTCTAGCATCTTAGTTACAGTACGTACCAATATTAGTTTCATGTGGTACAACTTCTGATGATGATGATGATGATAATAACAATCGGTTGAAAGTTTTAACTTTTTTCCTTAAGAATTTAACTGTCGGTAATATTACGATCATAAGAACTGTTACAATTCCACCAATAAATGAAATAACAGTCGTCATAATAAAAAGAATATCAAACTGATGAGTATAAGTATATGTGCAAGTTAATGGATTGCACGCATTAAAATAATGTTGATAAGATGAATTCAGTTGCCAAGAATCCACCATTAGTAGATTAGCTAAATCATTAATGGTTGGAAGAGACGAAGCAGAAGAAGGCACTGCTAAAGGTGTTGCATTGAATGGAGAAAGTGAATCATTTAAATATGTGTTTAGTTTCGATAAGCAACTTTCATTATATAAACATGAAAGATTTGATTGAAGAACAGCATAAAGTATCAAAGTGCCTACAAGTACACCTGGAACTTCAAATTGTAATTCTGCTACATATTGTTTCCCCCAATGTAAATCAGATGATGTCTCATTGGGAAGTTTTCTTAAGTAGATACCTGTTGTTGTAGTACAGTATACAGCGGCTGAACTTGAACAATTTCCACCATTTGGATATGGTTGACCTGCCCAAGTTGGGACAAATACGTCGTAGTTCGTGTATAGGTAAAGATATAATTGCCAAAATGTTTCTAATCGATTGTTCACAAAACGACTAACTGATCCCATTAATATAACTGAATCAAGTGTAATTATAAAATCAGTTGCACTTGCATTTATAAATTGATCACGAGTCGCATGTATATTAGCTAAAAATATATCTTCTGAAATGGTATTTTCTGTAAGTAAAATTGTAGAATAGAACGAAACTAATTGATCATCAATTGTTTGCTTAGCTAATATACAAAGTGTACGTAACATAGCAAAAAATCCATAAGCTGAATGACGAAAATCGAAAACAAAATGATATTGTTGTTCAAGAAATAAACGATAATTAACATAATTGAGCCAATCATCACTGACAAAATCACTTGAGCAGATTTGATTGAAAGTTGGTGTAAATGATGATATGAATTTGTTGTATTCATTAGAAACACTTGTACATGGACATGATAATGTATTTGAATATTTTTCTTCTAATTGTGTATAATCGGATAAAGAAGGTTGTTTAACAACTACGGTTTTTGTTAAAGGAGTTAAAGCTGAATAGAGAAAGAGAGCAACAATTGATGTTGTAAACAGAATAAGAAAGATAATTGTCGATATTTTTTGATTTTTGATGTCTTCTTCATTTGCTTTATCAATATCTTTAAATAAATTGATGCGTTTAATTTTAGTTTTACATTCTAAGAACCAATTCCACGGCATCGAAAGGATGATTCTGTATAATACAAAAAACTCTTCTTGAAAATACTTTCTTTCTTTTTAACTGACGATAACAACAAAAAAAAAGGAAAATATCCAAGTTATATATTATTTCTTTTATTTAAAAAAAATTTTATTTTTCTTTTTTGTTCATATTCCATGGTTTTTTCATCATTTTAATAAAATAAGTTGATGCAAACTCACATAAAACATAGTATTGTCGCATGGAAAATAAATTCATATTGCAGATAAGCAAAAAAAATAGTTAGAGTACGCATGAACAAATCTACCAATCACCTCTTTTTCAAAGATCGTAAAATATTGTGCTTGTTAAGTTAAAACAAAAAAAATCTTTTTTTTTCTTCTCTAGTATAGTTTATTAGTTAAGTGTTTGTAGAAATGAAATTGTGTTAGAAATAATCATTAGAGAATTGAGTTATGACTTCACTGACTTTTTAAAGACTACGTCATTACCTTATTTGTTCAATTTTTTTTTCCTTAGGTGATAACTTTGAAATATAGTAAAGACAATACTCTTTCATAAAAGTTATCGCAAGAAAACAAATTTCAATCGATTTTGAGTATTTGCATGAACTGATGGCAAAATCGCCACAGCTGATTCTCGAGCCCTCGCCATAGAAACCCTTACTTTTGAGCATGAACACTGCATTACCTTGATACCCATCATTGTCACCCACTCACATTCTATAACCAAATTCGATCTTTTGAATAATAATGATTTATTTAATCTTGTGTTTGTGTTATATTGATTAAAAACTTTCTTTTCATTTATATCAAATATTACTGAGGATGTGAGCATGAAATCTGTACAATATCAACACCAACACCCAGTTTTCCATCAAAATATATTGGACGTTTAAGTAGTATACTTTTTATTGATTTTGCTCTAATTAAATTAGCTGATGATATAACAAAAGCGGGAAGAGTAAGTTTTATTGTTATATTTTATATATAATATTGAATGAAATCATTTTTAGGCATGGTTAATGTTATTATCATTAATAGTATTAGTGTTTTGTCATTTAATTCTAATTTTGTTTAAATGTTATAAACAAGAAAAGAAAAACAATCAAAAAGCAATGATGATATAGTAGTCACAAGACTTTCATCTTTTTTTCTCAATTAATGAATTATTTTTTTCAATAAAAGTGTTTGTATTTATATAATAAGAAAATTTTCATTTGATCCAATATTGAAGACTGATTATTTAAATAGAGTTTGAAGTGATTGTAGATATTGTTATATTAAACAAAATAAGATGTTAACAGATGCTCTTCGTAGTTCAATAGAGTTATGTATATTGTATCATGTGATTTTAAAGAAACTATCTGACCAACAGAAATTCAGTTGAAAATATAAATAAAAACTATTATTAATAATCATCATCGTGTGTAAAAATAGATCAAAGATTTCAGTAAGATTTGCTTTAAAAGGAAATTTTTGAATTGTATACTATTACAAAAGGGATAAATCTTCTTCTCAATGTATTTAATTCCAAAAGAAAACTGAGAATAATCAGAATATTTTAATATTTAACTTAAAATGAAAGAGAATGTAGCTTTTTCGTTACATTTTGTTTGTATTTTAATTTATTTCAGTAGAATTTTCGACCTTTGTCATATATCTAATACGGTCATCATCAGTACAATAACAAGAAAAAATAACTAGCACCTGATACTATTTAAAATTTATAATAGAATAATAATAATATAATATAACATGACAGCAACATCAATATATATAATACTCAAATTTTAATAACTACTTGTTAATGAGTCATTTGTATTCATCTATATTATATTTTTGTTATTGTACTGATGATAACCGTATTAAATATCAGACAAAGGTCGAAAGTTCTACCGAAATAAAATAAGATACAAACAAAATGTAACAAAAAAACTACATTCTCTTTCATTTTAATATAGATATACACTTTTACAGAAGGTTTTAATCGATAAAATTCCTTTCTTCTACTAAATGGATAGAACAAAAACACGTATTATTGCTGGAGGAAATAAATCTATGATGCTGTTATAATCTGTGCTAGCACATGCTATCAATCTGTCAAACTATTACCCCTATGACGACCTTTTTCTTTTCTGCACTTAAACGCATCACTTTTGTTCTCTTGTCTAACATCGTCTTTCACTGGTACTACGTGTGATTTATTTTTTACTTAACTTCATATACATTTTTTTTCTCGTATATTTTCATTGTCTATCTTATGTATGTTCATATTTGAGGCAAAATTAGAATTCAACTGGAGATACATTTCTACACTAGAGAGAAAAAAAGAAATGAAATAAAGAATGTAATACGTGGTATAAGAACAGATAAGAGAATAATATATGCAAGCATATCAAAAACGAAAGAAAAACAAATCTATCAAAATGTGGCAAGGTCTATCGTTATAACATCGATTATCATACAGAATCAGGTAGATCAACAGCCATAAGATTTAAAAGCATTTCTTGGAACAATAGTATCATTCAATATTCTTTGATTCTTTTAGGGCAATCTGTGTAAAACTTATTAACTACGTGTTATTTTTCTAGATAAAAAAGTATCGATTTAATTAATTTAGTGCTTATATAAATAATTCTTCTTTTAGTTAATACCTACACAATGGAAAAGTATAATTTATCATTCATCGAATTGGATGAGAATCAAAATCACGAAGATTTTGTCATTGTCTGGCTTTCATTGGATGATGTTCCAAATTCAACAACAAATTTTAAAAACTATTTAAAGAAATATGATTCATGTGAAGCTTGTATAAATTACATGAGAAATTTCAGAAGCGAACGTAAAATTTTTCTCGTCTTATTGATGGACGTCGAGTATTTATCGGTTTTTGAAGAATTATCGCAAATTCAATCAGTTTATATTTTAAAGAATTACAATAAAAATTTTCGATTCAATACACAAGATCATCCAAAGTTAGTTGGTCTATTCGAAAATATAGATGAATTAATCAGCCGATTACGTAAAGATATAATATTAACTTATAAAAGCGACATATCAACAAATACATCTACTCTAAATGAAAACAAGATTGAACAATCGTTAACAAATTTACATTGCAATACTTTAACAATATTGTGGTATCATTATTTTATTTGTTATTTAATAAAATATCCAAGTTTTAACATGGAAAAATTGAAACAACTTATGATAAAACGATGTCGATTGGAATATGAAAATAATAAAAGCGAATTAATAAAAATCAATGATTTTGATAAAGACTGTTCAAACGATAATATTTTAAATTGGTATACAAAAGATTCATTTGTATATCGACTTTTAAATAAAGCATTTCGTACAAGAAATATGAATTTTATTTGTCAATTTCAATATTTTTTCATCGGTTTATATCAGAAATTTCAAGAATTATCAAAAAAACAAAAAGAAATATATCCTTTGACTGTTTATCGAGGGCAAATTCTTAATATAAATGATCTTAAACGATTACAATCAAATGGTGAGCCTCTTATTTCAATAAATACATTTCTGTCAACATCACGTAGTGAAGAAGTTGCTCGTTCATTTATTTTTGATGCTCCACTAAGTGTTTTATTTAAAATTAATATTAAAAATATAACTAATAATAGATTTCGACCATTCATCGATATTTCTAGTTATAGTTCAATGCCATACGAACAAGAAATTTTATTCTTTGCTGGAACTATTTTTTCTGTTGATTCGATTCAACAAGAAAATAATTCAACATGGATTATTGAACTTACTTTAAACAATGAAATATGTGAACATATTGAAGATTTGATTGATGATTTTCAAAACCATATTCCTCATTTTAAAAACAACCATTATTTATTTATGAAAACAGATGATTTCCGTATGATTAAACAATATTATCATATATTAACAAGGGAAGAATTCTCTTTAAATAATGTATCTATAAATATGATATATATTCATGTTGCTTTTATATTTAGTAATTTAGGATGTTATGAAAAAGCAATTGAATTATATAATAAATATCTTCTCATAAACTATGTTTCTATTGATAATCCTCAAGCAAAAGTTATTCATATGATTATCGGTTATCTTCATTATCATCTTTCTGTATACGATAATGCTTTTATTCATTACGGTATTGTATTATCGTTATTAGATGAAACAAATTTATTATCAATTGAACTGTACAATCATATTGGTGATGTTTGGAATAATATGGACAATATCGATCATGCAATATCATGTTATCAGCAAGCATTAAATATCGGAAGTGCAAATGATATTGTTCGATCTGATATTGATCAGAAAATAAATGATTTACATTTAAAAAAGAAAAACTTAATTGAGAATTCTATTTATGAAAGGCAAATAAATGATATTGATGAACATCATAGATCAATTATAAATCCAGATAATGAAACACAATTGAAAAATTATCAATGTCAGCTAAATGATGGACATAATCTTACATCAGTTCAACGTATTGATGTGTTTTATCAAATTGGTATATGTTTAATGAGAAAAGGTGACTCTCATCAAGCTTTACAAATCTTTTCAAAAGCGAAACAGATGATTATTAGTGGACAGTTAGATAATGAAATTAATTCTAAATCAATTCGACATGTTGATTTATCATATCAAATTGGCTTATGTTTGATGAACAAAGGTGATTTTCCTCAAGCCTTAAATAGTCTTTTAGAAGCTGAACAGATTATTATTAAAGATCCTCCAGTATGGGATCGATTTCCTCAATTACTTGCAACACTTTATGATAATATTGCTATACTTTATTTTCTTTTACATGAACCTTTTCAAGCGCTATTTATGTGGAAGAAATCTAATGATATTAAAACAAACTTTTCTTACGGTTAATTATCATATATACTTCTAACACTAAAGAGTCATCGTGATAGAAATACTTTATTTCCTTATAAATCACTCTAAGAAACATTCTTTTTATATGCAGTACTAGTAAAAACAAAGCTCTTTTTTTCTGTTTGTATTTCATCTTACTTCAATTAATATCATATTAATAAAATAAAATAGAATATAATAAGAATCATGATCTTACTCATCATCTATATAAGATTCAGTAATCTACTATTTCAGTTTTTCTTATACATCACTTATTATTAGTTGTTAGTAGAATCATTATTTTAAATTTAGTTCAAAATACAGTTGTAATATTTTGCTAACTTTCTATAAAGTGCTCACAAATTTTGTAGACTTAAAAAGAGTTTCAAATAATAAATTAAAAGATGCAATTGGTAAACAATAATAAAGTGACGCCTTTTTAGTAAAATAAAAAAAAACGCGAAAAGAAGTTCTATTTATCAAGGGTTTTAACATATGAATACAAAGATAATAAAAGAGATTATTTGAAATTTTGTTTGTCATCGATATCAATGTTCATGCGACTTTACTGAGTTGATTAGTAAGCAGTTAATCAAACAATTTCACAGAATATTCTCTTTATATATATCGTCGGTCGTCTTGACTTTTACTCGTTTCGTAAATATCTAATATTAATGATAAATTGCAGTCAGAAAAAATAAAATAACATCCGGTTTGATATATTATTTTCTTGCACTCTAATAAAGTACCTTTACACTTTATTAAAAATGAAACATAAACAAGTCTAATGATTACTATATAACCTTTTGTAGAACTAAACAGTCTATACGTATGTTTGAAAGTTGTTCAATTTCAAGTTTTTTTCTACTGAATATGTGTTTCTACTCTTGTATGCATTGATAAACTTTCAGTTATAAAATATTCATTTTACTGAACTAAAAATAAATCGATATAATGTATTCATATACAGGTAACACTTAAACAAATTGAATAACAAATAAAGAACAAAAGTAGAACAAATTTTGTATCAAGTTAATCCAAAAATAGATTGCATCAATGGATTTAACATATCTTCCATTCCACTTTTTTGTAACATTTCATCCATTATAGTCATTAACACTTGATAATGTAAAATTTGCATAACAATTAATACCATTGATCGTATTGCTTCTTGTTCATCAAAGAGGTAATTTAAATAACGCCAAAGTAATGAGACATAATAATTTTGACTTTCATATAATTTTCTTTTACTTATATAATTCATACTTTCACTACTACCACGTGGTGTTGATAAATTAAAACTAAATATAAGAACAATCAATGCTATTTGTAATATAGCAGGATATTTCATAAAACGATCAAATTTTTGTCGTGCTCCAGACATTTGTCGATGAAAATCTAGACTTATCCATTGTGACATATGTTCTGCCATTTTCGAATTTTCGTGAAAATTTTGTACTATTACAAGATGCAAATGTATAATATCAACCATATTACATTTAATTAATAAAACTTGATCATCAGTATCTAATTGTCGAAATTCTGGAATATGTTTATAAAAATAAATTAATGATTCATGATTAATACTTTCATCATTGATAAATTGTGTTAATGATGATGATGATGTATAACGATTTACATGAGAAGAATCAGCTTGATCAGCTCCGTATTTATAAGCACATATGATATTATTCAATAGAATTTTATCATCAGCGGATAGATTGCGATGAACACCGAAAGAATTTAATTTACAAATCTATAAAAAAGAAAATTAGAATTGAACTACTTCGTGCGTAAAATTCTACTTTAGGAATGACAAATGCTTGTGATACTAATTTGGCAGTTGCTGGTAGAATACGTTTTTTCTTTCGTATGACTATCGGTAGTTTTACCATTAATTGATGATCAGCTGATGATTTGTTTAGTTTTCTTTGTTCTTTTTGTAGATTTTTCAATAATCGTAATTCACGTTCTTCATCCGTACGTATCCATTCTTTACGCATATTTACATCGAAACATTTCTTTAATCGACAATAAGTACATTGACGTCGTGTAGATATATTTATCACACAGCAGCCAGCGAAACGACATTTAAAATTGGACTAAAAGAAAAATACATATTAGTCAGTATTTCATGACTTTAATGATGACTCATCGAATGTCTCATAAACGATTAATTTCGTCAAGGTCTATTCATTTTCTTTTCAAAATCCTCCAATTAACATGAATATTACCTTGATAGTACCTATTTAATGAGATATATGAATGAATCATTACCGTATTTTTTAATGCGTTTCGACGAAAAAATGCTTTGCATGATTCACACGTGATCTGATCAAAATTATAACCATGTGCAGGAGCACCACAAACACAACAAATTAAATTTAATGGATCAATTTCTATATCTGGACTGTGTGTTGATGATGCTTGTAATGAATAGTGATCAGCCTATTTAAAAAAAAATATATGATTTATATTAAAAAATCATATTACTAGTATTCATATTTAACCTCAGGTGATGATAACATTTTTTCAAAATCTTCTTCACTCGAAATATTACCGGACTTCAAACAATCAGCATCTTCAGTAAATAAATAATCATCGGGATTCATTGGAAAATCGTTAGAAAAAAGCAATACACTATTTTCTATCTTATTCCAAAATTCATCACTCAACATTGTAGTCGTCATGATCTAAAATATCAATAAAATATGATTAGTTTATTTATTATATTAATTCTAGTTTTCTATTGTCTACAATGGCGTCTGATGTATATAAAACAACAAAATATGTCACCTGTTGTTTTTATTTGTCATTAAGAAAAGAACGCGGACTATACTAATATTTCCTTTCATATTTCATGTTTTTATGACGGAAGAAAAAAAACTAATCATTGGACTTTAATATAGAAAAATAGTTTACAAGAAATAGATAGAAGAATCTTTTTTACAGATTGAATTACTATACCTTTTTGTGCTGTCTTTTATAGGACAAGTACTATACTATATTGATCATAATCGATCTGAATAGCATAATAAAACAGTCGTCATTGAAGTCAGGCTTGTTTTTTCAGTTCTTCGAAGTATATAAGTCTGAATAAAATCTATAGTGAAAATAGCGACAAGATTTTTTTCCTTCTTCTCCTTCTTCTATTTGCGGAGGTAGTAGGTAAGCAAAATGGTTTCTGTGTCATCCTTTGAAAATGTGACCATGAATAAATGAGTCAAAAAAAGAAAAACACAGACATAGAACACGAGAAAAAAAACACTTTCTGAAGCGTTGTAAAACAGTAATGACATATTGTCAGGAATCAAAAGTGTTAATAGAAACCCTCAAGAAAAATGTCATAGTAAAAAAATTTTCTATAACAAGTTTTAAAATATTTTGTTTTTGAAGTATATTGTGTAGTACTTATAGATTGAGTCATTTTATGTATAGATTCAATTGGAATAGGAAAAACAGAAGTTTATTTAGTATAAAACATGACATCTGTAATAAAAATAAAAAAAATGTGTTGTTTTTATTATGAAAGCATTGATTGGTATGCTTTAGTTATCTTTGTTTTAAGAATAGGATAAATATTTTGGACTTATCTAAAGATAAATTAATAATTGAAGAAATACAATACATATATATTTATGTAAATTTAGACATTGTTAATACGAGAAAAAGAAACTTATTTTGACCTAGAATATTCTAAGAACATGTCTAAATAATTATTTGCTAAATTCGTCAATGGAAAATTTTTTTCAATATAATTAATATAAAGAAAACAAAAAAAAAAGTTGTATATTTATTTAATGCTTACTTTGGCTTGAGATCTTTTTATATTTGGTTTAGACGAACTAAAAAATTGTTTTTTTTCTATTTCACTAGAAGAGAAAGAAAAACTAAGCAGTAAAATGCATATATATTTTTCTTTCCTGTTAATAGTAAATGAAAAAGGAAAATATGACATTGCTGCTTCTGCCTATTCTTTCTTATATCGTAGTGAATTAAATATAAATTTATTCTTTTATATTTATTGTAATATAATAATAATCATAATAAAAAAAAATGTTGTGTTATAAATAAAAATCTATACTCTTTTAAACAAAATAACAGTATTATAGAAACCTAAACTGAAATAAACACATCATCTTTTAAGAATTGTAATAAAAAATGACGAATGATTTCTAATGATTATTTAAGTTTCGTTAGAGGTCACTGAGTTTTGTTTAACGTATTTCGAAAAGCTTATTAAAATATTTATATGAGAATTAACTCCAAAAAAATGATATTAATTTCATCTCATAACTAATGATTTAACAAAAAAGATACTGTTTTTTTGACCTTTGAAATGCCCTCAGAATACGTTTGTTAAAGGCTATTAATGTCAAATGACACGTGAGCCTTCGTTTTAGCAAATGTATTTTTATAGTCAAAGAGATAATATCTTTTTTTTCATTAAATCATTAATTTTTTTACATAGAATATAAATTATCAAATTCAATAAATTTTATTTTTGCAGATATTATCTTAAGACAAGTTTCGATCATATGAAATTGTCAGTTCAGTTTTATCACGTGATAGCTATATAATTTAATTCATGCAGTAATTGTGAGTAATAGTTAATATTAAATAATTTTTTTATTAATGTTTTCGAGTTAAATATCACGTCACAGAAATGCATTAACATTCAAGCTGTTGCCTTCCAACATATAGTAAGCATATGAATATATTATTATAAGAAATTTTTATTGACTTTTTTTGTTTATCAGAAAGGAAAAAACACGGCCCTATTTGTCTAATAATGCAGAACAATCATTCTTATAAAGAAACAACCAATAATAGATTATTTTGCGCGGAGACTCTTATTTAAAGATGTTGTCTATTAAATACTATCATATATGGAATTATTCAAAATAGCTTTGATTCAGTTTGCTAATAAAATAACAAAAGAGGAAAAAGCTATAAAATTATCTTAGTTGATCAGTATCTCACTAAATGAAGCAACTGATATAAATAGAAAAATCCCA